AAATCACTAAGGCTTACTATATATGAAAAAGACATTTAAGATTTCTATTTGTCCTTGGCAAAGTCTGAAGGACCTGTCAGATTTCTGAGTTTTAAAATGCCAAAAATTTTTTTGGCCTTAAGTTTTATCTCATTGAGCTAATTAGGCTCCGTCCTAGGTCACTGTTTGCTGTATTTACATTTCCGATCTGCAAGACAAAGACAGACACTTCCAGTTGCCCAGAGAACTGGTCTGTCACCTAGATCCAATTGTATCTTCTTAATTTGCTTTTGTGTATCAGTGAGAAGAGCTCTAAACAAAGAATTCCATGTTTTAAAACTGTAATGTTTACTTTATCATGTCTTCAAAAGCTTGCATACGGCACTTACTAAGGTCTTTTTTCCTTGAGTTATAAGTTAAACCTAGGGTAAATCTCTTAGTATTATTTTTTTATTAGCCCCTGAGTATTAGTTTTTAGTTTTACCTTATATTGGATGGCCCAGGTAATTCTATTGGTTTCTTTTAGTTTGTTTAATTAAATTTTTTTGAGGGACAGATATGTGCCCAGCCTTATAATACCAAGAAGAGGAAGCATTTTTCCACTGAAACATATTTATCCCACAACATAATTAAGCAAAAGATGTTTATATAAAGCCCATTTAAATATACTAATTTTACAAACTTTTATCTAAATTTTATTAACCCTTATACCTTTAATTTTTATATTTATTAGGTTTAATCAATAAGTCTTAATTCTGAAAGGAGTGCCAGAAGACTTTTCTTTTATTCCTTGTCCATTTTATCTAATTTTATATAAAAGTCTCTGGGATCCCCAAGTTTGAGCCAAAGGACGTAGGCCCTTGTCAGTTTTTAATTTGATTAATTGGTCTGTTGCCCCAATCATTGGTCAAGTATCTCAGTATATATATATATTTCTTCCAGACCTATGAATATATACATTTTAAACTGGGGTAAATAAAGCTGACTTGTTTGAACTTTAATGTTGGGGACCAGTAGGTGATCCCTTTGGCCTTAATTTTTTTATTTTTATTTTTTACACTTTACGTAGTATAGTATCAAAACCTTGTATCTTAATCCAAAAATGTCCATTTTATTTATTCCATTCAAAATAACCATCTAAAAATATTTTCCATTTGGTGTAAGTTCCTTATTTTTTTCTTGTTAAGAAAAAAAATCTTTTGACATTTTTTACATTCCTTTTTCCAGTTACTCAACCTAAATAACACTAATTATTCTAACGTTTTTGTTAGCATCTCTCAAACCCATTGAGGGGAAAGGGAAAACACAAATGTAGCTTTCCAAACCGTTTTTTTTTTTTTTTTTTTGCTCTCTCAACTTTCATCGATTTAGAAGTTTCTCCAAATTAAAGGATCCAACATACAGCCATCAATTATGTATATGTATGTGTATATGTAAATGTGTATGTATATGTCTGTATATATATATATATGAAGTGATTTTAAACCAATAAGAGGAAGAGGCTTTTCCACATGAGTGGGGGGTATCATCTAAATAAAATTCAAAAGTTTACTCCACAAAAAGTAAAGGCCTTTGTGGTCCAGGGTGATGCAACAAAGGTTAAGATGGCAAAACGCCTGATAATTGGTACAATCAAAGGATTGTTGAGAATCCCAATTTATTTGCTTGACCGCCATATGTACACAATACTTGTGCCTTTTGAATAGCAGATTCCAAGTTTTCTTTTAAAAAAATGGAAACACATAAATGCTTACATACACATACATAAAACGCCCAGAGAAAGATAAAATATTTACATTTCAAGGACACAGGAAGAGAAATCCAAGTTTCCCCTAAAGGGGAATTTGTTTTTATAAGGTCAGAGTTCCAAAAAATGTTTTTATTAGGCCTGGCTAGTTATTTTCAGGGTGAAATTTTTTAAATTCCCAATTAAAATTGTAAGTTTTGTACATACATAGACCTGACTGGGGGATTAGTTGGAGGCTGGCAATCACTCATTCTTCTTTTGTTTTGAAAGTTCTATTCCCCATTCTAAGGTCGGATTGTCAGAACAAAATCGCTAGTAGGTTTTCCCACAGGGACAACTGCACGATATGAGGTCTTTGCCTCAATCACTCCTGCAAGTTTCTCATTGACCTGAGAAAGCTGTTGTCAGCCAGGAGGAGAGTCCCATTTTTGGAGTTGAAAAGTTCCTCATAAGATTTTTACTTTTATCCCGACAAATTTAATGGAGGTAGCCAAACTGAGGAAAGCGTTAGACCAGCCTCTTACTTAACCACTCAGTCCAGAGCCCAGTATCTTTCAACCAGGCCCCACCCGGATGTCTCCACTGAGTGGGTATTTCCCTGGTATCTTTCAACCAGCCCCACCTAGGACGCCTCCTCAAGGTGGGTATTTTCGTGGTGTCTTTCAACCAGCGCCCCCCCAGGATGTCTCATCTATGTGGGTATTTCCTGGTATATTTCAACCAGGCCCCACCCAGCATGTCTCCACAGGGTGGGTGTTTCCCCCCAGTATCTTTCAACTGGAGGGCCAGGTACCTGGATACACTGCCAAATAAAACTCAGGATCATCAACCAATATGGGAGACCTGAGAACCAGGAAAGACTCACCAAATTTGTCTGGACTCCGCGAGGAGGTGCATGGGCACAAAGGGCCAATGCTGGTACCAAGGTTGCAGTTCCTTGGAGAGTTCAGGTGAAGGAGAGACATCTGCTCTGGGTCCCTTCATGGTCGCCAAAACCATTGACTGAAATAAATGCACAGCCTAAAAGTTGAGTTATGTTTTATTTGGCAGGAGGACTCGAGCCAGGATGACAGCTCCTCAGATGGCTCTGAGGGACTGCTCCGAAAGGTAGGGGAGGAGCTAGGATATAAAGGAGCTTTACAACAAAGACCAGGTAGTTGGAACAATAGATTACTAGTTATCTAAAGAAAACCAGGCATCTTGAGTTCAAGAATTTGAACTTTTCTATGTATGGGAGGAAGCAAACTTTTGGCCTCATTGAATTCATTCCTTTGACAAGCATCTAACTATCTAGGTTCATTATTTTGTCCTTTATCATTGTGACTCCACTCAGAGAGAACCATTGAGAGCGGCTGCAGATGCTGGGCTGTAGGCCTGTCCTTACTGGGGGGTGGCAGCAGCCACTGATGCCTTGGTTTCAGCATTTCTTGTTTACTGATATGGTTGCAGTATTTTCATTCAAACTTTCTATTCCTAATTCAGCCAGGAGGCCACCTCAACTGGCCTCAGTCCTGTAGTAGTTATGAAATACTGTTTAGGTGAATTGCCCAAGATGTTTTTCCATATGTTTCTTGAAAATTAATGTGTGGAGGTGTTTGTTGGGTTATAAATAGGAATCATAAGATTTCAGAAGAATCAGTTTGAAAGGCCAGAAGAAAATTCTCTATTTGAAGTTACAGTTGGAAGCATCATATCCAGATTTCTCAACGGAAGTTTAATTCCATTTTGTGGACACATTTTATTAGATAGATAGATAGACTGATTGATTTTAACTGAAGTATAGTTGAATTACAGTATTATATTAGCTTCAGGTGCAGAGCATCGTGACAAACTATTTTATAGGCTTTAATTCATTAGAAGTTATTTCAAAGTAATTGCTGTGATTCCCTGTGATGTACAGTATGTTGCTGAAGATAATTGCTTAATTATGTTATATATAGTAGTTTGGATTTCTTAATCTTGTACTGTTATCTTACCCCTAGCCTCTTCCTTCTCTCCAGTGATAACCTCGATTGTTTTCTATATCACTGGATCTGTTTCAGTGTGGCTATATGCATTTATTGGCTTTAATTTCTACATTCCAAATGCAAGTGATATCATACTGCCTTTCTCTTTGATTTGTTCCACTAAGCATAATATCTTCTAGTTCCATGAATATATCTGTATTTCACTTCTTTCTCCATCCATCTGTTGATGGGTACGTGGCTTGCTTCTACGTCTCGGCTACTGTAAATAGCCCTAGTAAGAATATTGGGTTGCGTGTATCTTTTCGAATGAGTGGTTTTTTCCACGTATATATCCAGGAGTGGAGTTGCAGGGACATATGGCAGTTCTATTTCCAGTCGTTTCAGAAACTTCATTTTCAAAATCATGTATTTCATTATTTGCTTAAAGAGACTGCTTTGCACAATTTACATATTTAGCTTGGACTTCTTCACTTTACTTCAGTGGAAAACCTAGAGAATGTATAAACCAAGGGCTTGTCTTCAGATTTGTGTGGCATGGAAACTTACATAGAGGAACAACAGGTGCAAAATAGATACAAGATTCTCAGATTTTCAGCTTCACTGAGAGTTGCAATGATACAACGTTCAAAATGGGGGAGCAAGAGACTTGTTGCTAAGGTGCAGGTGCATCACTAGGACTCTGGAAACAAAACGTGTTAATTGCACCTTAAAATGCATCTCTCCAGTTCCTCCCCATCATGCCATTGTGTCTACCGTCATGTCTTCCTTCCATTTGTACAACAGCACTATTACCTGAATTCAAAATGCAGATAATAGCCAGTGCTTCTTTGATTGCATAACTTGCACACAGTAGGAGGCACCATTTTCATTTGTACAATATAGTGTGATTTAGTATGTTTGCAAGTTGTCTGACAACAATATTATCATCATACATCACTCTCTTAAAGAAAATGTTCAGCAGCAAGGCATTCATTGAATGAATTGATAAAATGACACAATAAATTACTATAGAGACATTATGTTACTTATATGTATTTAGTAAAAAGAGAAACTTGATTTTTGAACACCTGCCTACAGCCAACTTCCACAAAAGATTTCACATCACCATTTTGTGGTTCCAGTGCTTTGACTGAAGTGAAGCTCCAAGGTAAATCTTTCTTCACGTTTATAATGCACCTTCCTTCTACAAGTCATTTCCTTATGAGAATTATCATATCACAAGACACCCAAAATAACTCACTGATTTATATACTTCCCTGTTGTAAAATAAAGGAAAAGCACAAGGAAGAGAAAAAAATGCTAAGAAAAATTTTACAAACATATTTTATTGCAATAGAAAATTAACCACGTAACATATCGTCTGATCCACTAATTTGAAATTCAAACTTTAACAGACTTTTGATAATTGCTCCTCTAGTACACTGCTTAGTTATATTATCTACAAAACATGCCCAGACACCAATTCTTAGCAACCTAGTGTAAAAGTCTTACATGATGCATCTAAGGAAGATTTTTCTCAAGCATTTGAAACAACTGTATTGAACAATGGGATGTTTCTCTGCTTAGAAGGATTACACCTCACTGCAACCTCTTCCTGCTTGGCCTGAGTGATGAAGGTGACAAAACAATCTGAGGGCTTCCTCTTTGGAGCAACTTTAACCAACTGGAACTTCAAACCCTAAGTGGGTATGCTCCCCTAAGCCCCCACCTAGCAATCACATTAACACACCAAGCAACTCACCATTCCTTGTTTCTTCATATCATTTTTATAACAACTAGAAACTCTTCCCTGTCCCCTGAGAAATCTGAATTATAGAACATTCTCATAACACTTGAATGTTAATATCACTCTGAATGACCAAACCAACTTTTGGCTGGAGGTCCGTCCTAGCCCAGTGAATGGCCACAAAAGCAAATCAGCAACAACAAAGAATATTTTTGCACAATATACGAAATTCCTAGTTTATCTATCAAACAAACATGTTCCCACTGTACAAGGTTCATTTTTACAGAAACCTGAGGAATATTGTTCTTTTCTAATTATTGTACTGAGTTGGCCAAGAGCAAAAGTGAACTTGTAGAATTTTTTAAATTTCTACTATTTTTCATATGCTTACTACATTCCTATTTTCCCTGCAAGTAAATGAAGGTGGAAGTCATGACACTGATTTGGCTGGACAAAAAAACCCCAGGAGAAATATATTCATATACTGAATAGGAAGAAATATTCATATGCTGAATATTCAGGACTAAGGAGCAGCTTTTAGGGAGTGTTTAAGAAACAAACGAAAATAGTCCCAAGGTGGAGTCACCCACAAGACAGCAAAGCAAGACTTAACTGTAGTTTCACCCCTCAAAGAAACGCGACAGTAAACCAACCACTGTCAAGTGTCTGAACGCCACTGAGGTAACCTACAAGGGAAGATTTCTGTCCTTCCCCTAAACAAGGCAGCCTTGCCTGAGAGAACCTTTCCCTTTACCAATAACTTTCTACCCCACCCAGTTTATGCCTGAAAAGGCTTTCCATAGTGTACAGCTCCTTGGAGCACCTCTTTATGTAGAATAACAAATCATTCAATAAAACCAACTAGATATTTCAGTGTACTCTCTTCAATTTTTGCACATTTTTGCACATTAGTCAGAGTCTGAAATAAACTGCTCTGCCACTCAGGTTCTTTTGATTAATTTTTCCTCTTACAGGAACTGCTCTCCCCTCAAATTCCAAAGGTAAGAGGAACTTTTCACTAAACATACATATCTACAACACGCGATGGAGAAAGTGACCAGCTTCCCCGAGCTTTGTTCCCACCACATAACCGGTCTCGCTCCTCCTGTGAAAGAGCCAGTCCCGGGACGCCCTGCTGCTCTGCTCATGGGTGGGGGGTGGGGGGGAGCTTTCTGCGCTGTAGCCCGCTGCGGCCTGTCTACAGAAGGGCACCATGAACACGTGTCTACTGAGTCAAGTCACAATTTTACATTAGTCTCTGTCTCTGTGTTCCGCATAGTTGATCTTCAGATACAAGCCTTAGTACACACACTGGTTACTGAGGTCTCTCTCCAAACTGTATATTCTTAAGTCTAGTGGACTGTGAGACTGCATACATTTTCTACCATACGTTACCATGGCTGTTCTTCAACATGGACTTCCTCCTGTTGCCTAAGAAACGGAACTCAAGCTAAAGGCTTAGCCACACCATTACATTTGTAAGGTATCACGCCAGTTTGTCCACCAACTTGTGATCTTTGATTGAATTTCTTACCACACTCTTGTGTGGTCTCTCCAGGATAAATATTCTAATCTCTAGTGATGAGTGAGGAGTATTATGAAACTGCTATTTCCATTGCATTTTTAAGTAAGATGTGTTTGGTGAAGCCCCTGCTCTAAGGCATGACCCCAAAGCTTTGCTACACTCAGAACATCTCTAACGTTCTGTCCAGTATGGACTACCTGGTGACTGCTGAGAGGTGAAACCCAAGTAAGGACTTTTCCCATTCAGGGCCTCTGTGATCGCCAGAATGCCTTCTCTGCTGAATGAATCTCCTGTCTACAGGCCTGGTCACACTAAACCCATGTATCTGATTGCCCTCCAGGACGGCTGTTAAATGAAGCTTAAGATGTGCACACCTGCTAAAGCCCTTACTTAACGTACCTCACCAATAGGGATTATCTGGCTCTAAGTTAGGCTTCAAACTATAATGAAGGATTTGCCGCACACATATTTGCAACCGTCCTGTCTAGTAGGAATTCATGGAAGATCTTTTTTAATTGAAGCATAGTTTATTTACAATATTGTCAGTTGACTCATGTATGAATTTTGACTGAAGACACTGAGACATTCATTGCATTTCTCTGATTTCTGTCAACTATGGTTATCTGACAGTAAGTGAGTCTTTTCCACATTCATAGCACATCCATCATTTCTCCCAATGAATCTCCTATGAATATAAATTGTCACATTTGAATGATGACCTTCCCACATATATCATATTGATATGGTTTCCCCTGTGTATCTACTCCCTGAGGCGTAGTGAGGGTTGAGATGTGAGGAAAGGCTTTTCAATACTCATTAGTTTTGAAAGGTTCCTCCTGACTATGAATTCTCCGATGCCTTGCAAGGTGTCATTATCGACCAAAGCCTTTCCCACATACATGACATTTATATGAGTTTTCTTGTGACTGCATTAGTTGATGTTCTGTGAGATGTGAGGCCTGATGTAAGGTTTTGAAACCTTTGTTATGTTGATAAGGTCTCTGTCAAGAATGAGTTCTCTGATGAGTGTTAAGCTTCCTTTTTGTGCTAAAAACCTTACTGCACCAATTACATTTGTAAGGATTCTCTTCAGTATGAATTCTCTGATGTTTTACAAGCTCTCCTTTGCAATGAAAAGCAGTGCCACACTCATTACATTTATAACGTCTCTCTTCAGTATGAACTCTGTGATGAATTCTGAGGCTTGATTTACACCTGAAGACCTTGCCACACTCACAACATTGATAAGGCTTCTCTCCAGTATGAATTCTCTGATGGTATGTAAGCACTACTTTGTGACGAAAGGCCCTGCCACACTCATTACATTTATAAGGTCTCTGTCCAGAATGAATTCTCTGATGAGTGTTCAAGTTTGTTTTTGTACTAAAAACCTTGCTGCACTCATTACATTTGAAAGGTTTCTCTCCAGTATGAATTCTCTGATGGTTCGTAAGCCCTCCTTTGCGATGAAAAGCCCTGCCACACTCATTACATTTATAAGGTCTCTCTTCAGTATGAATTCCGTGATGACTTTTGAGGGTTGATTTACAGCTGAATT